CCCCCCCCCCAAAAAAAAAAATGAAACCCTCTTTGCCTTAAGCAATTTCTACACACAAACACAGAGAGAGAGAGAGAGAGAGAGAGAGAGAGAGAGACGTAGGTTCAGAATTTTCATTTCAATGTGCATGGTGATTCATGGGCTATTAATTTTTTTCTACAGCTGATTGTGTTAGCGAGGAGAAGAGACTGCAATAAAATGCATTAATGCAAGTATTGATTCATTCGGTCTGCCTTTGCAATGCATACATAATACACATGTCTTAGAACACACGTTGGTGCATTCGAATTATGTATTATATATGTAGTGTATATTTGCAGTTCACAGTCAGCGTTCTCCTGGTATATGTATAACAATTTAGGGCAGAGAATACAATTCACGTTAGGGAGCGGTGGTAAATACGCTAGCGTTCCCTGTGGTGTAGGCCGCGGTACTCAGTGCTTTGTTCAGACATGGACATTATGTCCATGGTCTAGACCAACTCTTCGGCTCTTACGTAACACTTAGGACGTTGACCCTATCCTAACCCTGTGCGAGTATAAGGACTAGACCCTCGATTTCTTTACACCGGTGTGCATTTGTTGTTTTGTGACTGTACAGGTTGCCGGTTTAACGCAGGTGTGCTGTAGCTTAGCACGACGTGTGACCTAGTTCTCAGTCGCAAATACAAATATTACACAGATTAAGACAGGCGTTTGTATAGTCAGCGTTATTTTTGCGTCAGCGGAAGCTTAAAGGACTCTGGAGATGACATTGACCTTGATATTATATAATGGTCACTGCGTGCTCTTTGGTATTCGGTGGCAGCTGGGCCGGGATTAGAGGAGCCAATAACACTATTGAAGGGCAGCACGATTATAATGCCGGTTTCACAACTGACACAGTGAGTAACAGTTCAGTAAATCGTTCGATATACATGTAGATCAGAATGGCGGCTGCCTTTATTTTAGCCATTACGGTATTGTTCATGGTCGGCACGAATCAGGCGAAAATCCTTGAAACGAAGCTCGGTAAAATCCGTGGGAAGACAGAGACGTTGAACGGGAAAGAGATAGACGTGTACCTCGGTATTCCATATGCAGAGCCTCCGCTTGGACACCTACGCTTTCGCAAACCGGCACTAAAGAAACCGTGGACTCGCACCATTGATGCGACCGAATACGGGCCATCGTGTACACAGATAGTCCTGCCCGGGATGATAATCTCTTTATCCCACACGGATACTTCTGAAGATTGCCTCAATCTTAATGTGTACGTCCCTGTATCTGAAAATAAGGTCCCCAAAGCGGTCATGGTCTGGATACACGGTGGCGCCTACTCCAACGGCCAGGGGATGGCGACCCCCTGCCAAGAATTGGCTTTGCATGGTGATATCGTGTGCGTCACCATAAACTACAGGTTGGGTATTTTTGGATTTCTGTCGACAACCGACGAACATGCACGAGGCAATTTCGGACTCTGGGATCAGCACGAAGCTCTGAAATGGGTCAAAGAGCACATCTCAGCCTTCGGTGGCGATCCAGACAGAATCACCATCTTCGGTGAATCGGCCGGAGGATCGAGTGTGCAACACCAAGCAGTGACGAAGTATAATATTGGGTTGGTGAAACGAGCCATCGGCCAGAGCACGCCCACTTTTAGCAACGGGTTTTCGATCTCAAGGAACCCACTTCGTTTTGCCAAAAATTTAGCCCGTAAACTTAATTGTGACACTACGGACAACCAAGATCTTACTGACACCCTCAAATTGGTTAACTGCCTGCGTTTGGTTTCGGCCGAGGCCCTTCTGAATAAAACTTTAGAGCTAATACAACCGGACTACACGAAGGACGATTCCTCCTTCGAAATGGCTGTCGGTCCAGTAGAAGATGGTGATTTTGTACCATATGGAATTATGGAATATTTCTCAGCTTCCAAGAAGAAAAACTACCCAGAAATGGACGACGCGTTCGGTAAAATTGATTGGATGATCGGTTCGGTAGCAGACGAAGGGAATCTTATGCTTTACATGTCGGCCATGTTGCAAGAGGTAGATGGGTACAATTTTACTTCCGGAATACCAGAGAACATCATAAATACAAAAACTGTCAATCCGATAGCGAGAACGTTTTACCCAGAAATCCAAGAATCGGCTAAAAGGCACATTCATGACTCTTACACTCACAAGGCGGACCCAATAGAAAACACCCTAGCTCTGCGAGATCTCTTGAGCGATGTCATGTTCCACCAACACGTTGTCGAATCAAGCTTGGCCCATCTGAGATCACAGAGTAACACCCAGAAATCAGCCACCTACGCCTATCTGATCAGCCACGTTTTGAGCGGGAAGAATTTTATGGACTTTACCATGGGCTTCAGCCTACCGCCCTGGACAAAGTGTGCGGCACACACGGATGACATAATCCTGGTGTTCGGAAAACATATCGTCAAAGAAGGCGTGGAAGTCGAGTGGAGCGAGGAGGACCAGGCCACGGCTGAAGCCGTGATGACGTATTGGACCAACTTTGCTAAAACCGGGTAAACATGTGGCATCTTATCTACTATAACAATGAGGTTGCTGCACCAACATTGTGCTCCACTTTTATTAATATATCAAATGTGTCTTTGAATGATTCTTATCATGTTTTAAAAATGATTTTTTTAAACTTTATATTTAAAGATTATTTTAGTTAACTTTTATCTTTTAGTTTGAAATAGATTTATGTTAGTTTTTAATTTATCCATGTAGTTTTAGTTATTATATGTAAAGTAAACAGCGCTGTGATGCACGTGTAGCGCAGTTTTAAGAAATGTATTTTTATTATTACTATTTCTAATCTGAGTGAATTTCTCATGGGTTATTTTGATAATATTCTATTATGTATTACGTTCCTTCTCATGTGCATCGACCCCTTGATGTTGCGTTCTTTATGAATGCAAGTAACAATGAAACAAAAAGGGTAAAACGCCTAAACTATATATTCAAAAATCAGTGAATGAAATACGAATGGTTATTTAAAAAACACGTAAATGTTTTTAAATTATTCTTCAGAAATCCAAATCAAGGACGCCCACTAGAGGGCGTTCCAACATGGGAGGAGTACACCAAGGAAAAGAAGGGCTACATCAACATTGGCAAACAAACTGAGATGGGATACGATCTACTGCCAGAGAGGATGAAGCTGTGGATGCATACAATTCCTGAGGAGATTGAAAGAGCAAAGACACAAAAGACGGAACTGTAAAACAGATAATCTAAAAAACAACCGACTTATGTACAAATATGTAATACCAGTATACAATTTACATCAACACTTTGATAACCAATATCCCTATTCCCTTTTTCTTAAGTACGATCAAACGTTATATATAAAAATTAAACAAGAAGACAAAGTTATAATTATACTTCTTTTTTAATTTTACAACTGACATTATACGGCTCAAGTATGCTTTTATGACCTATAATGACCTATAAATGTAATAAATTAAAAAGCTGACTTTTAACATGTAAACAGAGTACAGAGGTATACAACTGCTTGTTATGCTGTCCTTTTTAAGGGAAAGATGGGACCACTCAAAACTGTAAGGAGGAGGCACCCTTGATTTCACCTTGCCGTGCGCACTGAATTCAGAAATTCCTTTTAAATAATAAATTTTAAGTCACTGTTGAAAGTACAAAAAGAACAAGATCGTGAAGTTTGTCTTACTCCTAAGAAGACATTGGGTAGAATAAAACAGAAATGTGCAAAACTTATGGGAGTAGCCCTGCACATACAGAAATATCAACTATGCATTAATTGGATGCATCACCCGGCTCCTCTAACACAATCGAAGGTAATGTAAACCTTACTATACATTTCAGACTAAGTTTGATAGTCCTCTTTTTTTTGTATATCACGAAGGTATTTGTTACCCTAACTGTTTTGCGTCATACCAGATAACGTCCTTTCATGTGAGAGAAAATAAAACATACTGGTCACATCGGCAAGGATGTACCGTGCCTGTACATGTATGTGACATCCACCGGTTCGTCGTACTCGATTCTAAGTGAAGGACTATCCCTCCCAAAGGAAATTACCTCATGGACAATTCTCCAACAACAACAAAAAATACAGTGCTTTTGAAATCTATTAGGGGCATTTATGCATGTTTTGCACATTTTACTGAATATAAGAAAGGAGACAGAAAAGGAAATAAAAACAAAATATAACAAGATCCAGGAAGTTCACTTACCGGCATAAACAGACCTAAGAGATAGCCTTAATTAATATTATTAGATGCCATAGATGCTAATTTTGTTAATTGCGTCATTACATGACATTTTTGGCAAACAGTTACTGCTTTTTCATCATTTTTACAAACAAATGTCATTTTATCTGCAATTCATTTGATGTTAACGCAAAGCCCCCTGAGTTAGAGTTTAAATAGTTATTACAGTAAGACATCCTTACATCAGTTATATTTATTTAGCATGACTGATTCACTACAACATATATTAAAACACGGTGCAAAAAATGAAAAAAAATCAACAAACCTTATCATTTGAGTTCTTACATAAATGTATAGACCATTTAGAAATTATATGAAGATGTAAAATTGCGACAGCCGTGGATGTTTGTTCTATATCCTTTTTAACTGAATACGGAAGGTATACTTGAAGCCAATTAACATATCTCGTCTATCTTGATAGGAGTAAAACGGAGATATGCACTAAAACATGGACGGGAAGCAAGTTTACAGACAACACTCTATAGTAAATTATTCATACATGTATGACCGCTCTACCTGTTATCTGACCGATAATCAGATTGGTAATTTTATGCAAAGTGCGATACGCTTCTGATGATCATCATAAACATAGTTTTAACACCCTTCATCGTCCTCCTTCCCCCTAAACAGTACATAATGTGCATTAGAATCTAATATGTCAGTAAATGAGTTTTTGTCAGTTTTATTTGATAATATTTTCATTATAATCAGGGTATATACAGTTTATAAACTCGGGCAAAAAAATTACATTAAGAACCACTTTCTAGTTCAATTTTTATTGTTACTAGTGAAATCGTCATCCTCCATTGCGGGAGAGACATGGAAATCACGCCTGTAGATTTTTAGATCGTGACACTGCGAACGTTTTGCTAATAACGAAGACGTTGGTGATTAAGACAAAAAAAGATGAAATGTCTTTGCAAATTCTTGCAGCAAAGCATCTAACCACGCAACGTGTCGCGCCGCCTGAGGGAGATAATTTCAGTGCGAAACAAAGACACATGATATTAGTTACACAACAGATGCATCATACTTCCTACCCACTACCAGGGGGGGCACATATTATGGGCACATTTTTCACATTTGCAGAGAACCAAATGACAGTCTATTTATCTCAGGACATATCTGTGAATATCTTGTGAAAAGATCAATCTGTCGCCCCGGTAGAGGGTAAATGTTTCGTGTGTATAACCTTTTTCATGGTTTGTCGACAAATTTAAAGCGTTTTGAACAGTAATTTTTATTCCAAATTTCATATCTAACACAAACCTACATGTTTGGTATAGAATCGTGTTACGCTTGGATATGAAAAACACTCATTCAACTCAATATTTCAAATTTATTCATTTTAAATCCAACGCATTATTAGTCTTTCTAAAGCATGACCAGAAGTAAGTGAACATGTCAGTAATCTTGCATTGCAGACTTGTTTAAAGCAATGAGAAATTGCTCTCTGTAATCGTCAGCCCATTTTAATTGAACGGGATTTAATAGCGCTTTAAGTAGAGAACGGTTGTTCATCCATATGTGCGCGTAAAATCCGCGATCTGGAAGATGAGCGTCATACAGAGGTGTGAATGTCACATTTTCGTTCGTATTAGACGCCAAAATTCCTTTATCAACTCGATCGCCTCGACTACCATGTGGTGTTCTGGGAATTTCCAAGAGCTTTTCTTTCCGAACCTCACTTCCAAATGTTTTTATCCAGTCACCGATTCTAATGCTGGCCAGCTTTTGGTCGAGGTACCAGTCGTTGAATTTAATTTCGACTTTTGAGGCAACGGTATGCAGTGTTTGGGAAATCGCTACTCCTGTTTGGTTTGAGTAACTGGCAATGGGGGGAATGTGTATCCTTTTGTCTTGGGAGACCACTTGCTTCGTTTCCTCGGCTTGAGCCTTATGGTTTATATTTTCTTTGTCTATTGTCTTCTGCAAATCTGGAAAGAGCTTTCGCCATAATCCTACAGGGGCGCCAATGTTACCCATCGGGTACATACGGTAACTCTTTCCAAGTTGATTGAAATATCCGCAGCAGTAACTATTCGTAATAACTACTCTTGGCTGGGGTTGAAGAAGGTGAGTTTTGTGAACCCACAAGTCAGCATCACTTGTGATGAGAAAATATTCATCTTTTAACGTGTGGTCGAGTGTGGAAACGTAGAGACGCAACACTTGGCTTAAAGCCACGGTGGTTGCCTCGTCCGCAGTTGGTACAAATAAGACTCGGGCTCGGGTTTGTTCCAGTCGTTCCAGTATTACGTTGAGAACTGGTTCTTTTCGCCACAATTTTGGATCCCCTGTCATTACAATCACCGACTGGAACCCTTGCTTTGCCCACAGAAGAGAAGTCAACGGCAAATAAAATCCGTATTTCTGTAGTCTGGTTATTGACGCTCCGTAAGTGACATATTTTCCCTGAGTGCCGTTTTTCTGGTCTGTGTCCTCAAACAATATTAATTTCTCTCTCTCTTCAGATGACGTAGCTGCAGTCATGCCATTTACAAAATATTTTGCGAAAGGGTTACTGCCCTTCAACTGCATGTTCAAATTCAACAATATAAACACCACCGTGCAAACATAAACAGTGAATAATAAAAGTCCAAAATTTTTTGAAATGGTCGCCATTTCAAGTACTAACCAGTGTAGGTTGGTTCGCCGTCGGTAAATTCCTTCATTCGTCAAATGCACCAGCTTACGCAAATAATTGCAGTTTATCTCTGCCAAGTTCCTTCATAGATGTGGATGCTGCACTCGGACATCACAGCCATACTGATATTTATTTAGGTGTCCAACGCTGTTGGCTTGGCGCGCACCTCTCCTCTGCTAATTTCTAATGTCCACCGCTGGGTTTCGCGTCTTTCACAGAAAGGCTTCAGTAGGTGTCTGACCACGAATGTACCACGTGCGGTAATTACCCCCTGTCTTTGATTATTTTAATGAAATGCAGTCGTAATACTGCTCGCTGCAGTCGTTAAACCACGTGTTATCACGTGCATATTAATCGGCAGACGCTACAGTGACATCTTCTCGTAGATCCTTTCATTCACTCGCGCCGCTCCACGGCGGATGTCAAAGACAAAAAGACTCAGCCGTGGTGGATAACTGTACGTCACGCATGAATGCCAGTTCTGCCACATCTTGCCCTTTTTCTCTCAAAGAATCCCGCCAGTTGTGTACTGTAGTGCTTTCAGTCCCGCAATGATGGTTTCTTCTAACAGCAGCCAAACTCTATACATGCAATTATTTCATAAGGCCAAGTCCGCAAACCCCCTCATTATCTCGAAAATGAAACGGTGCATCTTCCCCCGTCATTTTGAGAGGTCACGTGACATGTGCAAACGCAGATAAAACGAGACTCTCAAGCAGAACTAATTTTTACCTTATAAAGTATTTTTTAAAAGTCTTAGTTAATTTGGTGTGACTCGCAAGCCAGAATTCATTATTACATCGAAAAGTAATTTTTAAAAATCTCAATTAATTTGGTGTCTATTTTTATGACTTAAGAATTAATAATAGATTTACAGTTAGTCATTTATAAATACACTTGGCGATCAAATTTCGGAAACATTTTTATTTTGAATAATTATAAAATAACCTGATGAGCTAAAGAAAATATTTAACCAAATATTGATGGTTAATGCACTCACCATTAGTTAAATATTTTTAATTTTGCCAGGAAAGTAATTCTGTGGGAATTACAGCGACATTTATGAATGTGGGGTCGAATTTCATCTTCATAAATCATGCAAATGAATGAAGAAGATTGAAGTTTGCAGTCTTAGCAACTCTACAAAAAAATGTAAAAATATTTATTTTAGGCAAACAGTATGTAAGGTACAGTTAAGATAGTCTTGGTCATGCTCTGCATCAGTATCGTATGTTGCCTGCACTGTTTATTGTCAAGACTTTTTTGAGGATAGAGAGGTTTTGATTTACCAAATCGTGTGCATTAATTTTTTGAAAATTCAGTCGGGGGGAGGGGGTCGAGCGAACTCCCCCCTCCCCTACTAACCCCCACAATCCGTCATTGTTGCTGTTCACTATTCGTAACCACTTAAGCCCAATTTACACTGGACGGCGCCCTTTCTTCGTCCCGTATTACGGTCCCGTTTTGAGAGTAAAAAATAATACGACAACTGACCGATCATCGAGCATTCATTCTACAACCACTGCGACGCCACTTGAATGGCGCACAAAGGACGCAAAAGGACGCTATCCAGTTTAAAAGGGGTTTTATAAACGTGATATCCCCGTTCTTAAAGGGTATTTCCCTGCGCATCTATAAACTTAATGATCAACCTATACGGGCTTCATAACAGCCAATCACATCAAAAGAGACATTATATACTCTATCTAGAGCACTGCCACACGAAAGCACGGAATGCTATTGGTTATCTCTGATTCAGAGGTACATACACCGTATTTATGCAGCGCAATTATATTGCTTTCGATTGTTAATTTCTAGCGAATTCGTGTGGGATTACCTCGCAGACAACTGGTAGAGTGATTGCTTGCTGCATCGCAACGTTTGGCGTTTTTCCTCAATTTGACACTGCAAATCGGACACTTGGAAATGTATTACGAATAAGAGCACAATCCATCACTTTGGAAAGATACAGTATTTTCACGATTTTTGCTGTGAGTATTTAAAAAGATAAAGCGTAGCGCTAGCATTGGATAAAAATTCGAAATGTCTATTGATATAAGTTTTATCATGAGATTCCATGCTGTCGCCAAGGACATTTCTTGCTAATTGACTGATGTAATTGGTGTATGGTAAAAACTTGAAGATTCCGTCACTTAAAAATAAATTAATATTTTCAGTGCCTGATTCCGACACAGCTCTATTAGGTGACAAACTTTTCAAAATTATCGAGAAGCCCATTTTCAAATTTGACAAAATTTTCAAAGTGTACAAAAATTACGTCGACAGAAAATCGTCTTCCGATAAATTTTCAAGACCGACTTAATCTTCAAGTTTTTACCGTAATTATTTTGAGCTATTTTCTGTTTTTCCGGCATTGTTTTCACGATTTTTACGGTGACCTTTAAATTAAACAAAGCAATACAAACCGAGACTGAAGTACTTCCCCAAAACACTAACACACGTGGCAACATAAGCGAGCTTGTGAAAATGTTGTACGAGTCCCCAAACCTTGGAATAATTCTTAGCTGTATCTTAAAATTTTCATGAAAAAAAAGACAATTTTTGGTATTCGTGATTCACTCGAATTTTGCCCTCTTACCCTTTAAAACACTGTTTTAACACTTAAAATAGTTTTCAATAACTCTACGCGTATCTATTAGAACTGATTTTGTAACTGGTGTAGAGCAGCCGCACACATCTTATTTCTGATATTAATATTTCAGATGGCTCCACTTCTGCTGTTCGCATCGGCAGTACTGCTGAATTGTTTGCAAGTACAATGTAAGGACCAAATTTTTTGTTTTTGATCTTTTCAATTTTCATATCGTTACTGAAATTTAGGCCTGTGAGTCAATTTTTTTTTCATAATTTTTTCGAAAGTTTAGAAAATAAATCGGTGCGCATTGCTTCGATCTTGTATTTCGCCGCCAGTATTTTTATGCCAGAACAAATATTTTAGCTTTACATATTCGATTATGCCCAGTTAACACAAAACAAAATTTATGCATAGTCATTCTCTTGTTTACAGCAGCAGAAAGCGGGGTCTCTTATTGTCCCACCTTTGAGAGCACGTATGGCTTGTGTGTATCCCCCTCTAACTCAGCGGTCGACTACAAGCCGGCTAAAGCGAGCTGTGAGAACTTGTGCAGCACCTTGGTGAACACGAAGACACCTACCAGTCACTTCACGTTAATGTTTTATCTCCTGTAAGTAATTCATTAAATGAGCCACTCAATTCAAATGCACATTATCAACATCATCATCCTACTATCAGTAAGAGTAGTGCAAGCAGTACTTAGTTTATTTAGTAGCAGTGCATGTAGTAAGTTCATGTAGTAGTAGTAGTAGTAGAAGTAGTAGTAGTTTGTATTGTAGCAGTAGTATTAATGAAATAGTAGTTGTAGTAGTAGCTTTTGTAGTGGTAGTAGTATTAATAGTAATTCCCTGTAGCATTAATCGCCTTTTCCACTTTATTGAGCTTTCCCTCCACTACTCTCAAATTTCCCAATTTTATTGAACGCTTTGGATTGATAACGATCATGTGTGGCATATATTGATCTGAGCCAAAAACGTTTTAACTACGGGCACCTACATTTGTAGTCTATGCAAATACACTTATTTCCTGTAATTTTACATAGATATATTACCATAAAAATCATACCCTATCTAAAATGGGTTATGATTTTCATTCTATGATATATTACATACTGTTTAGTCTACCGAACATTCTATAGAGTTTGTCTCTTAATGAACAATAAATTATTATTATTATTATAAAATTGACAAGGTATAGTGTTTACGAACACGTGGAATAATGGCTTAGTTCTGTCCGAAAATGGATCCCCTGAAAACACGGGGAGAGAGCGACCTCTTTATGCTAGTGCTAGTTTTAAAAATGTTGTGCAGCATTAGGAAGGATAGTTTACTTGTTGACATATTCGGAAATAAAAGGGGCCTAACTTGACCATTTACTCACAAGAGTGTCCATCTCACATAAATGCATTCAATGCTACATCGGAAAAAAATATCGTATGTAATGGACTTGGTCAAAGACGCACACATGCATGTACAACTAACGTGACACATAGCAAAGACAGACGTATCAAGGAGAAGAATAAGCATAAAATTCTCATTAAATTCACACAACAAAAATAATAACAATGTACATGTCAGGGTTGGCTATCTTAGTTGAATACAGTCTGCTACTAATACATGCACTTGTATACAAGACGAACATACATGTTCATTGTACTACACAAAAAAATGTAGCAAAATGGGTCTACATGCACATGTATTAGGTTATACTGAGGTAAGAAAAATGTAATAATAAAGGTGGATAACATATAATGGTAATGAAGTGAAAATGAAATAAACATAATTAAGCTGGACAAATAGGGCAATAATAGGGCAAGTCAATTAATTTTTTTTTATACTGTTAGTGTCACGGGCTGGAGTGAAACATTTACCTAGAGGTGCACTTGATGGTACTCTAATGAGTCGAGAGCGCCATCAACAGAAATGCATGAATATTTTACGAGTTAAATCTAGTGTAACGGTGTAACTGGCTGGTTGAACCTTTTGATGTTTGACAATTAAATAGTCCCCAAAATCGATCAACGTCCGCATTTGAAACATCTTTCACCCCTGGTTTCAATATGTCATACTTACATTAGTAAAATAAATAATAATGACAGTTTTTATATATTGTGAAATAGCAAAGTCATATGGGCAAGTACGGAAGATGGTAGAAACAATGATCATTTAATTTATGAATGTTTTATATGTTAAATAGTGTGTAACAGTAAGAGCGTGCGTGAGATGATAGTCTATCTACTCTGAAATCAAATTAACTTAACCAACAAACTGCGTAATTAATAAGGTAGGGAAGCGGCACGTTCTCATAGAGCACTTTTTTTACCATGCTTGATTCAGTAAAGGCATTGGCTTAAAGAGACAACAAGAGAAACATACTACTAACACGAGAATGTAACATTTAGCCCTTGTGCATGAAAATGGGTAGTCAGTTGAACAAACAGATCTATGATATGTATGCATCTCTCTAAAACAAAATACCTTATAAGCCAGTTCTGTAGATCTGTGTAGGTCTTTCCAAAACTAAATAAAATTCATAAAAAAATTAACTGAAGTAAATTATAAAGCATATCTAGTTTCAGTTTGTTACAGTTTTGATGACATTTGACAGTACATGACGAAAGTAGTCAAATAAAACATTGCTGATACGTTAATTGTGAGGAGAGGAAATAAAACATTGGTCGAACATTATTGAAGCAGCGTCGCTGCCGACCCATCATAAAAGATGTATACTTTGTTGTAGTGAAAATGAACATTAAAATGGCGATACAAATTTATTCTCCTGTAGGTTAGGGAATACATTTTGCACAAACATAAGCCAGTATTCGGCTGCCCATTACTGGAATCCATACTGTTGAACAGTACGACAGCACGCAATTGGAACCATTGTTTTTCTACATTAAAACACACTAAGGGGCGATACTACTCGGACGAATAAAACCATTATGCGAGATACTTTATTCCGATGAGGACTGTGCAATGACCCTGTGATTATCCAAGTGTTCTTGCCACTTTACGAGCATAATCGAAATTGTCATCTGATGTTCGCAGTAAATGACAACCGTATTAAGGCTGATAAGTATTTTGTTGCATTGTCGTTAACGTATAAAATATGCATGATGCAATTTTGTACTTCCCCTTGACTAAACTGAAAAGCATTGTTTGCGAACTGAAGCAGGCGTTTTCTATAACATTGATTTAAGCATATGGGTTATCTGCTTCCTGTTGCTTCCACTTTTGAATTCTGATTTCTCCAGTATCAATCAAACAAGAGTATAATTGTTCTGGCCAAAAACATAAAAATAACCGAATTAGCTGTGGGACATTCATGAAATTACCAAGCGCAGCTGATGCCATCTCGTTTGCGAATTGGTATGCGCATTTGAAAATAGTTTTATACTAAATTACATTTCCTTTGACAGTTATAAGTAGAATACACCTATATTGGTCACGTACATATTTTAACAGGGCACAAATACTTATAAGACTTGAGATTTAGCAAAACTTTTCTAGTTCCTTATCTATACCTACTACATCTGTTTTCCATGTGTTTTCTCTCCCACTCACGGTATCATTTTCAACATGGGCGAATAAACACCCGCCCAAGAGTTCACTTTGGGAACGTTTCAACAAACATATGTGATATTAATAACTTTCAACCAGATAAATAAACAGTGCAAGTAAGAAAATCAATAGACTTTAACGTTAACACGTACGATTTACTGCCATCTCCGCCCAGCAGTGAATGTGGCAAACCTCGAAGGACCAGGCCGGTCAATTTGCGTAACTTAGTTGTCACCAAGTTGTCTGTGGGAGCCAAAAGCAAGTACCTCATAAATATCCACAGTGAAGAAATTTCCAGAGAGCGGAACACAAACGGTCCGTTGGAGCTGAACAAATCCGCCACTCCAATATATTACGCCGCCCCTGGATTATGTAGACCTAGGACCCTCCATTTCTAACCAATGAAGCCTCTCGTTAACGATCTGTGATTCCTTTGGGATGCCTATTTCTTTGACATCCCAGAAAAACATCGACTTCAGTTTTATTTGAGGCGTTTTTTAGTTTCTAAGGTCTAGATTGGGAACAATAAAGAGCATGGATAAGTGTGCCAGCTAATTATATTACCAGAGCGCCCGTTCGCTCTCCACACGGCAATTTTATCAACTGCCTCACAGACAGCAAGAACCAAACTTGGGAAAGCGGATACAAACACCAGTAGATTACAATTCCATGATGAGACCTCCATCAAATTATATGAATACTGATAAAAAAACTATTTAAAGTGTCGAGCGGTACCCGGGATGTTCGATATGAAAAAGGCCCTATATCTCAACTTTCAGCTGTTTTTTGTATCATGTCTCCTCAACTTTCAGCGCCAAGGGCGTGGCAGACTCCCTGTGGGTGGGGCTCAGCAAAAACGACACTGGCGGTTCGACGTCCGATTTCAGTGAATTTACCTGGGGTGACGGAGAGAGCGTCAACTACACAGGTACATAAAACTATTTTCGGTGTTCTGTGCACGTGATAGTGCCAAAGCATAAATACCCAACGCGTTTGGTACATAGTGAAAATACGGGCCAAGCTAATTCTGCACGAAATCTTTTTCAATAAAATATTATAATTCGAAGGAGTGGTAGTGTGAGATTGTTTTTTTTTTTTTTTTTTTTTTTTTTTTTTTGTCCGAAGTTTTATTTAATATTTATGAGAATGTCAGTTTTTTTACATTAAAGTAAAATATTCAGCTCTGCCCAAGGTAAAAGCCGCTGATTACCATTCCAGATCTGTCATATGCTTTTATCTCTTGTTTCAGTGACAGACGGCAACCCTGGGACACTGACGGCCTCGTGTCAGGGAGTGACGATCACCCCATCAGGACTTGGAGTTTGGACCCGTCAGGACTGTGCGTCCACTTCGAGATACGTTTGCCAGAGACTAGGAAACCCTCCAAGTAAGTGGTTACGTCATTTGTTTTACAGTAGATGTTATAAGTGCAGTTGACATAATAATTCCTATTCAGTTAATTGTATATAAATTATGTCAAAGTATTCCACTGTCAATAAATAACACCAGACCCCGTATTTTAGTTCTGGGGTCGTATTTTTAATGTTTCTAAATAAAATATTTTCAGAATAATCTACTGTTCCTAAAATCTGTAACCACTGTGATATGTCAACTCTTAATTCACACATACTTAAAATTGTTGGTAATGTGCATGTACTGTCTTAATTATCTTAAAGGCTTTACCAAAGCTGGATAACCCCGCGCTGAATAATGCGATTGTTAGTTATCATTCAACAAATTGGATTTATAGTCGTTCTTAGCAGAAAGTGTAGTATTTTCATTAAAAAGTATTAGGAAAAATACAAGATACTTTTACATACACACGCACTTCTAGGCACAGTATGCAACCATCCTGTCATCACATCCGGACTACACATATCTCCGAGCTACGGGCTGTGCTCTCTGGGAACCAACTGTTGCACCGTGAACACCACCGTGTCGTTTACTTGTGATCCAGGCTGGTATCTCAATGGCCAAGGCACCGTTTATTGCGCTAGCCACGGCCAGTGGGCTGTAGACCCCTATTATTCGTACCCTTACACATGGACAACATGTTCACGTAAGTTGTGTAAATGATGTGGATGTTGTATGCGGGGGGGGGCATATATAAAGGTCCGGATAATAACATAATCAAACAAATGGCGTTTAAAGAGCGGGATGAATATATGGACAAGTTATAGCAATATACGCTAAAAATGTATTTTAACTACCACAATCGTTACAGCTAATAATCCATTCACTTAATCATTATTTATCATCTAACAATATGTTATTTTTTTTAGCTCTACCATGCCCTACAATCAATGTCCCAGCTGAGAATCACGTATATGTAACGTCAACAATTGGCAGTATGGCGGATACTGTGACGTTTTTCTGTCACAGTGGTTACGTCATGGCGGACTCCAGGACCAACGTGACCAGTCAGTGTACATGGAATGCCACTCTAGCAGGCATGGAGTGGACAGTGGTGACACCTATATGTTACGGTGGGTAAATCGGTATTAATTGTCTCTTGTATTACTTGATATTGTGATACGGGTTTTAACTGTACACCGCTCTCTTACATTTATCATAACCGTTGAAGCAAATATTATCATTTTATCGCTTTCAAATTTTGATAATTTAGTTAAAAGGTTAGAGTAGGCCTATATTAAAAAATTAAAGCACTGTAGCTAAAAAGCTGAATGACCAGCTATATACATGTACCATCTGCAGCGTATTCAGCTATCTCATGGATTTGGCTAGCAGATGAATTAAGGAAACACCACGTAGCACTGGTGCTCCTCCTGCAACCTGCAAGCATGGCGTTTCTTCAAAGTGATGACCATGTTCACCTGAGATTCTAACATCAGATCGACAATTATAACAGTGTTGATACAGGAATGCTCTGATGTCCTACAGAGGGGGTTCATTGCACTTATACTAGTATATCACTTAAAATGTTCTCTATCAAGAACAGTGATATAGTTTCCCCCGATTACAAAATAAGGAATTCAATTTATTGCAAGTATTTTTCCACACTAAAATATAACATATACATGTTTACTCCTATATTAAAATAAACATAAACTGACTCGAATTTAATTAATCTTCTGCATTTTCTGTGTTTTTTCTTTTAGATTTAACGTCATTTGTTATGTCCTGCCCTGATTTGACGATCGACCAAAACGGAAATTATAACTGCACAGGCATCAATGGAACAATTGGAGATTCGATCACTTGCAAATGTTACCCTGGTTACGCATATGATGACGGCACATCCATCCGGGTCCTAAGCTGTACCTTGGGTAGTGGAAGCCCAGGGTGGTCCAACCAGCTGACGTCATGCACACGTAAGCAATTCTTGCATATTCAAATAAGTCATTTCCCCAAAATTTCAACCTGTATATTGTAACGTNGAAATCTGATTTATCACATTCCCTGACCCCGAGAACATAGGTGTAGACACTTCAATTGTCATGTTTGCTTGCCTAGTTACAGAGATACAGAAGTAAAACGGTTTTTCAGTAATGGCGATCCTAATTTGCATATTTAGGAAAATTGCGTAAATCTAATTCTAACAGAAACATCTTAATAATGTTCCTCGACCCTGAAAATATAGGTAAAGACACTTCATTTGTCATATTTGCCTGTCTAGTTCCAGAGATATTGCAGAAAATAGGAAATCTGGCGGCCATTTTGTTTTTTTGCAAATTAGACGGTTAAAAATGCAAAATTTCGCTTGGGAACCGGGTAAATCAGATTCAGCATCCCGAAATTATGCTAATAAGCCTGGTTCCCAAATTTTACCCCAAAATGCCCCTTACCTCTTATGCAGAGCCTTTTTTCGAAAATCTCACTAGACTACAAGAGTCTCCATCTCACATAAATGCATTCAATGCTACATCGGAAAAATATCGTATGTAATAGACTTGGTCAAAGACGCACACATGCATGTACAACTAAACGTGACACATAGCAAAGACAGACGTATCAAGGAGAAGAATAAGCATAAAATTCTCATTAAATTCACACAACAAAAATAATAACAATGTACATGTTAGGGTTGGCTATCTTAGTTGAATACAGTCTGCTACTAATACATGCACTTGTATACAAGACGAACATACATGTACATTGTACTACACAAAAAATGTAGCAAAATGAGTCTACATGCACATGTAAATGTAATAATAAAGGTGGATAACATATAATGGTAATGAAGTGAAAATGAAATAAACATAATTAAGCTGGACAAATAGGGCAATAATAGGGCAAGTCAATTAATTTTTTTTATACTTTTAGTGTCACGGGCTGGAGTGAAACATTTACCTAGAGGTGCACTTGATGGTACTCTAATGAGTCGAGAGCACCATCAATAGAAATGCATGAATATTTTACGAGTTAAGTCTAGTGTAACGGTGTAACTGGTTTTTATCTGTTGGTTGAACCTTTTGATGTTTGACAATTAAATAGTCCCCAAAATCGATCAACGTCCGCATTTGAAACATCTTTCACCCCTGGTTTCAATATGTCATACTTACATTAGTAAAATAAATAATAATGACAGTTTTTATATATTGTGAAATAGCAAAGTCATATGGGCAAGTACGGAAGATGGTAGAAACAATGATCATTTAATTTATGAATGTTTTATATGTTAAATAGTGTGTAACAGTAAGAGCGTGCGTGAGATGATAGTCTACCTACTCTGAAATCAAATTAACTTAACCAACAAACTGAGTAATTAATAAGGTAGGGAAGCGGCACGTTCTCTTTAAGCACATTTTTTACCATGCTTGATTCAGTAAAGGCATTGGCTTAAAGAGACAACAAGAGAAACATACTACTAACACGAGAATGTAACATTTAGCCCTTGTGCACGAAAATGGGTAGACAGTTGAACAAACAGATCTATGATATGTATGCATCTCTCTAAAACAAAATACCTTATAAGCCAGTTCTGTAGATCTGTGTAGGTCTTTCCAAAACTAAATAAAATTCATAAAAAATTTAACTGAAGTAAATTATAAAGCATATCTAGTTTCAGTTTGTTACAGTTTTGATGACATTTGACAGTACATGATGAAAGTACAGTCAAATAAAACATTGCTGATACGTTAATTGTGAGGAGAGGAAATAAAACATTGGTCGAACATTATTGAAGCAGCGTCGCTGCCGACCCATCATAAAAGATGTATACTTTGTTGTAGTGAAAATGAACATTAAAATGGCGATACAAATTTATTCTCCTGTAGGTTAGGGAATACATTTTGCACAAACATAAGCCAGTATGCGGCTGCCCATTACTGGAATCCATACTGTTGAACAGTACGACAGCACGCAATGGGAACCATTGTTTTTCTACATTAAAACACACTCAGGGGCGATACTACTCGGACGAATAAAACCGTTATGTGAGACACTATATTCCGATGAGGACTGTGTAACGACCCTGTGATTATCCAAGTGTTCTTTCTCCTTTACGAGCATAATCGAGCATTAAATTGTCATCTGATGTTCGCAGTAAATGACAACCGTATTAAGGCTGATAAGTATTTTGTTGCATTGTCGTTAACGTATAAAATATGCATGATGCAATTTTGTACTTCCCCTTGACTAAACTGAAAAGCATTGTTTGCGAACTGAAGCAGGCGTTTTCTATAACATTGATTTAAGCATATGGGTTATCTGCTTCCTGTTGCTTCCACTTTTGAATTCTGATTTCTCCAGTATCAATCAAACAAGAGTATAATTGTTCTGGCAAAAAACATAAAAATAACCGAATTAGCTGTGGAACATTCATGAAATTACCAAGCGCAGCTGATGCCATCACGTTTGCGAATTGGTATGCGCATTTGAAAATAGTTTTATACTAAATTACATTTCCTTTGACAGTTATAAGTAGAATACACCTTTATTGACCACGTACATATTTTAACAGGGCGCAGATACTTATAAGACTTGAGATTTAACCAAATTCTTCTAGTTCCTTATCTATACCTACTACATCTTTTTTCCATGTTTTTTCTCTCCCACTCACGGTATCATTTTCAACATGGGCGAATAAACACCCGTCCAAGATTTCACTTTGGGAACGTTTCAACAAAGAGATGTGATATTATTAACTATGAAGCAGGTAAATAAACAAGAAAGAAAATCAATAGACGTTAACGTTATAGTACGATTTATTGCCATCTCCGCCCAGCAGTGAATGTGGCAAGCCTCGAGGGACCAGGCCGGTTAGTTGGCGTAACTTAGTTGTCACCAAGTTGTCTGTGGTAGCCAAAAGCAAGTACCTCTTAAATATCCACAGTGCAGAAATTTCGAGAGAGCGGAACCCAAACGGTCCGTTGGAGCTGAACAAATCCGCCACTCCAATATATTACGCCGCCCCTGGATTATGTAGACCTAGGACCCACCATTTATAACCAACGAAACCTCTTATAAACGATCTGCGATTCCTCTGGGATGCCTATGTACTCCTGACATCCCAGAAAAACATCGACTTCAGTTTTATTTGAGGCGTTTTTTAGTTTCTAAGGTCTAGATTGGGAACAATAAAGAGCATGGATAAGTGTGCCAGCTAATTATATTACCAGAGCGCCCGTTCGCTCTCCACACGGCAATTTTATCAACTGCCTCACAGACAGCAAGAACCAAACTTGGGAAAGCGGATACAAACACCAGTAGATTACAATTCCATGCCAAGACAAGACCTCCATCAAGTTATATGAATACTGATAAAAAAAACTGTTTAAAGTGTCGAGCGGTACCCGTATGTTCAATATGAAAAAGGCCCTATATCTCAACTTTCAGCTGTTTTTTGTATCATGTCTCCTCAACTTTCAGCGCCAAGGGCGTGGCAGACTCCTTATGGGTGGGGCTCAGCAAAAACGACACTGGCGGTTCGACGTCCGATTTCAGTGATTTTACCTGGGGTGACGGAGAGAGTGTCAACTACACAGGTACATAACACTATTTTCGGTGTTCTGTGTACGTGATAGTGCCAAAGCATAAATACCCAACACGTTTGGTACATAGTGAAAATACGGGCCAAGCTAATTCTGCACGAATTTTTTTCAATAAAATATTATAATTCGAAGAAGTGCATATGGTAATGTTTTTTTTTTCACAGATCTGTCATATGCTTTTATATCGTGTTTCAGTGACAGACGGCAACCCTGGGACACTGACGGCCTCGTGTCAGGGAGTGACGATCACCCCAACAGGACTTGGAGTTTGGACCCGTCAGGACTGTGCGTCCACTTCGAGATACGTTTGCCAGAGACAAGGAAACCCTCCAAGTAAGTGGTTACGTCATTTGTTTTACGGTAAATGTTATAAGTGCAGTTGACATAATAACTCCTATTCAGTTCATGGTATATCAATACAATTGTATATAAATTATGTCAAAGTATTCCATTGGCAATAAATAGCACCAGACCTTCTCATATTTCAGTTCTGGGGTCTTATTTTTAATGTTTCTAAAAGAAATATTTTCCGAATAATATACTGTTCCTAAAATCTGTAACCACTGAGATATGCCAACTATTTTAAGAATTAAAATTAAAATTAAAAATTAAAATTCACACATAATTAAAATTGTTGGTAATGTGCATGTATTGTCTAAATTATCTTAAAGGGTTTTCCAAAGATGAATAACCCCGCGCTGAATAATATGATTGTTAGTAATCATTCAACAAATTGGATTTATAGTCGTTCTTAGCAAAAAGTGTAGTATTTTCATAAAAAGTATTAGGAAAAAATACAAGATACTTTTACATACACACGCACTTTCTAGGCACAGTATGCACCCATCCTGTCATCACATCCGGACTACACATATCTCCGAGCTACGGGCTGTGCTCTCTGGGAACCAACTGTTGTACCGTGAACACCACCGTGTCGTTTACTTGTGATCCAGGCTGGTATCTCAATGGCCAAGGCACCGTTTATTGCGCTAGCAACGGCCAGTGGGCTGTAGACCCCTATTATTCTTACCCTTACACATGGACAACATGTTCACGTAAGTTGTGTAAATGATGTGGATGTTGTATGCGGTGGGGGGGGGGCATATATAAAGGTCTGGATAATAACATAATCAAACAAATTTAAACGTTTAAAGAGTGGGATGAATATATGGACAAGTTATAGCAATATACGCTAAAATGTATTTTAACTACCACAATCGTTACAGCTAATAATCCATTCACTTATTCATTATTTATCATCTAACAATATATTATTTATTTTTTTAGCTCTACCATGCCCTACAATCAATATCCCAGCTGAGAGTCACGTATATGTAACGTCAACAATTGGCAGTATGGCGGATACTGTGACGTTTTTCTGTAACAGTGGTTACGTCATGGCGGACTCCAGGACCAACGTGACCAGTCAGTGTACATGGAATGCCACTCTAGCAGGCATGGAGTGGACAGTGGTGACACCTATATGTTACGGTGGGTAAATCGGTATTAATTGTCTCTTGTATTACTTGATATTGTGATACGGGTTTTAACTGTACACCGCTCTCTTACATTTATCATAACCGTTGAAGCAAATATTATCATTTTATCACTTTCAAATTTTTGTGATTTAGTTAAAAGGTTAGAGTAGGCCTATATTAAAAAATTAAAGCACTGTAGCTAAAAAGCTGAATGACCAGCTATATACATGTACCATCTGCAGCGTATTCAGCTATCTCATGGATTTGGCTAGCAGATGAATTAAGGAAACACCACGTAGCACTGGTGCTCCTCCTGCAACCTGCAAGCATGGCGTTTCTTCAAAGTGATGACCATGTTCACCTGAGATTCTAATATCAGATCGACAATTATAACAGTGTTGATACAGGAATGCTCTGATGTCCTTCAGTGGGGTTCATAGCACTTATACTAGTATATCACTTAAAATGTTCTCTATCAAGAACAGTGATATAGTTTCCCCCGATTACAAAATAAGGAATTCAATTTATTGCAAGTATTTTTCCACACTAAAATATAACATATGCATGTTTACTCCTATATTAAAATAAACATAAACTGACTCGAATTTAATTAATCTTCTGCATTTTCTGTGTTTTTTCTTTTAGATTTAACGTCATTTGTTATGTCCTGCCCTGATTTGACGATCGACCAAAACGGAAATTATAACTGCACAGGCATCAATGGAACAATTGAAGATTCGATCACTTGCAAATGTTACCCTGGTTACGCATATGATGACGGCACATCCATCCGGGTCCTAAGCTGTACCTTGGGTAGTGGAAGCCCAGGGTGGTCCAACCAGCTGACGTCATGCATACGTGAGCAACTCTTGCATATTCAAATAAGTCATTTCCCCAAAATTTCTACCTGTATATGCATTTCATTGTCGTCCTGTTTCTTTTTTTCTTATGTTTTAAAATTAACTGGTGTATAAAATTTTTAATGTGTTGTAAGTTTTTTTTTCTGTGTTAAATCACATAGCTTTACCGTGTCCGGATTTGATCATCGACCCGACAGGAAACTACAACTGCACAGGAATCAGCGGAACTATTGGAGATTCTGTCACGTGCAGCTGTTACCCTGGTTATATGTACGCTGACAACAGTAACATCCGGGTCTTGAACTGCACCTTGATGACTGTCAGTCCAGTGTGGTCCAACAGACTGGCATCATGCGGACGTAAGTGTTTAAACAAGTGAAATACTCGAACGTGTATGTAGCTTAATTAATGATGATCACTTCTCACTAACAACGATGTGCTACTACATCTGGTGCATTGATTATTATATTTATTTTATTACTTTTCGTACGTATTTTCTTTCCTTACGTTCCTACATTTACAGCACATACTCCCTCTCTTTTTTGCCGCTCTTATTCTTCTTATACATTAATGCAAGAGTTCTTCCATACTCCAAATTTTCCTGCTTTTTCCCTTGTTTTGAAAATTATTACAATGCTCATTTTAATCAAAAATTAGCACAATAATTTTTTTTTCATTTTACCTGTTATTGCTTTGTGACCAAAAAATAACCTGCAGGTACAACAGAGATATGCGCCCCGCCCACAATTCCAACAGAAAACCACGTGACCGGAAACGTTTCAGGAGCAATCGTCGGCGATGTCATCATGTACGTTTGTGACCCTGGGTACGCAGTCCAAGCCGGCAACGCCTACGTGACCTCTGTTTCCGTTGAGTGCGTCAGTGCTAACAACACACATGAATTGGAGACAACTACGCCATCTAGTGAAAACTCGTCCAGTGGGGTCGCTGTTTGGAAAAGAGACCCACCTGTCTGCAAAGGTTTTATCAAAATTTTATTAATTAAATTTTCATAGATTATCTTGGAAACAATCATATATTTTTATCACTATGACCATCCCGGTAAACAGCAGTGCACTATAACACGATTTGCACTGTACGTTTCAAATGTAATGACATGTAGTTCTAGAAATGGTTTTCTTTTTCCATCTTATTCTTAATTACATTAGGGTTACCATGCCCGGAATTGATCATCAACGAGACCGGAAACTACAACTGCACAGGCACCAACGGTACGGTTGGAGATATGGTCATGTGCTCATGTTACCCCGGCTACGCATTCAATGATAGCAGTAACATCCGGGTAGTGAATTGTACCTGGATGAACGGCAATCTTGGTTGGTCCAACCAACTGACGTCATGCGAACGTAAGTATAATGAAGATTCGTGAAAGCCGTAGTGTATAAGACAGCTTGTGGCATAATTGAAAAAGCTAAAGAAAGAGTTTTTCTTTCTTATTAACAGATTTTGCCCTCAAATATATCACTTTTATATACTCTCTCTTCAATTATCAGCATTTATTTTTTGTTGGTGTTACTAATTACCTCCTATCCTCCTCCACGTTGTAATTGCTTACTTTCTTCCTCTCCCTGTTTATATCCGTCTTCCTTATATGATTACCCAATACACTTTAATCCATTTTGTCAACATTCCAGCCCAGCCCTGCCCAAACATCTCCACTGTTGTTACCCCCGATCACCATGTGACCTATGAGGACTCCGGCCCGGTGACTGTGGGACAAAACATCACAGTGAGATGTGAAGGTGGTTATGCACTGAGCGCTGAAAACCACACAGATACCGTTCAAACTCTCGAATGCGGTGCCAACGGGCCTTCGTCCGCTGCCTGGAGCAGTGTGGTAACGTCTTGTATAGGTGAGGGGTTATGAGGACACCATGGAAACGTTACTGTCTGATTCCTATTTCATGCTCGTGTGATAACAAATATTGCAATTGGTTTTAGGGGATGGTTATTTGTTCTAGATAGCTTTACAATTTTTATAAGAAATGAATTTGTATGAGATTTAAGTGTATTATGTACTACTTGTGTCATAAACGACAATAACTTTATTCAGATCATATAAAGGACTGTGTGTTTTAGTTTGAAAAATCAATATACCACCAGGGTACTACCCTCTTACACATTTAGCTCTCTAAGAAATTACCACTGCGTAGGATTATCATTATTCTGAAGTTTAAATGATTCTTGACTGCTGTGCCCGTTTCAGCTCTTCCCTGCCCGCCAGTTGAACTAATATCCGCAAACCACTTGGTGATGGCCAACTATTCAGGCTTTCTGGGGGACAGAATAGCGTTTGAGTGCGAGGACAATTACACGTTACCGGGATTTGTGACAACCCTGGAAGTAAACTGCACTTGGGGCGGTTTGTCCACCGCTTGGTCTCAGCCGGTGCCGACATGTGTGGGTAGGTGAAGACTTCACGGAAGACCACTTTCCCTTAGTTGTAATATTTAAGATTATAAAAATTCACCAGAACATGTGTATGCAAGAACAAGTATCTGGATCAGATAGTTTAGGTTGAGCGCATGCAGTTTCACTTAGCTCTGTGCACAGAATGTTGTGCTTGAATATTTTTCCCCACTTGAAATAGAATAATTTATATCGTCAATCGATCTTCCAGGTTATTTTATCTTTCATTGCTTAAAACTATAAATGCGCTTTACTAACTGCAATGATAACAGCACATACCAATTATTGGTATAATGACGTGTACAGGGTAAATCTGGCAATGTAGAAAGTGTACTGGGACGTGCCAATTGGTATTTCCAGCCATTTGTGCACCACCCATGATTCCAGAAGAGAACCACGTGACCGGAAACGTTTCACGTGCACTTGTCGGTGACATCATCCTGTATGTGTGTGATCCTGGATACGCTGTTCAAACTGGTGGCGTTTATGTGACCTTTGTACCCGTGGAGTGTGTCAATGTGAACTCTACGACATCTAGCGGAATTTTGTCTAGTGGTGGTGCTGTTTGGGAAACCAATCCTCCAATGTGTATAGGTAAGAAAACAGGGATATAGCCTGAATATGGATTTCATGAAATTCATTTTATAGCGTCTGCGTTTGAAAATATCCTAATCCCATAATTTGTATCTACATACCCTGCAAATTAAGCTACCGGTACCCACATGTATCTTCTGAATTCAGACTTTAAGAACGGTTAAATATCTCAAAGAAAAATACTTAATATCGTGATTTTATTCCTGAAATGTAGGAGATATGGAGGTCCAAGTGATTGGCCAATTTTTAGAACTACATTTAATATATGGTGAGAAATGACATACCGGAGTAAATCTTTCAGTTCAGTTGCCCTTTTAAAAAACTCGGCTTTTATTTTGAAGGAACTTTGATTTGGTGGGAAAAGCTCATGGGTAGATTAGCTTTGGTATTTATAACACAGTTAGTTCAAACAGATGTCAGAGTCACGTCACTTATGCACAGAATAGAGCACGGCGCGCTCTCTTGTTTAATTATTGGCAATGTTGTATTTCTCTCCCGGCTTTATGTTCTGGTTGCAGGCTTACCATGTCCTCCAATTACCATTTTGGATTGTAACCACGCCCATGTGAGCGGCAACTTGAATACGTCAAGGGTTGGAGATCAAGTAGACGTCTCCTGTGAGGCTGGTTACAGTCTGGATGACGGTGTCACCACCAACTACTCCATAGCATGTGTTTTTGATAATGTAACAGCGGGAGAGTGGGAACAGCCACTGGCTAACTGCACTCGTAAGTAGATGTGTGTGTGTGCGTGTGTGTTGCCATATGAAATCTACCGGTACAGTATAACAGTAATGGGCGAGTGAGTTTCGACCCCCCCCCAAGCAAGTGCATAAGCAAGAAGCACTAACATTTAAAAATCATGGGCAGCAATGAAAATATCCGTCTGAATCCAAACATGATTTTTATTATCAACATTGAAGTGCACGATGTATCGGTAGAGGAAGGTTTGTTTGAAAAGCCTACGCGAAGAGAGAACAGGACTTAGGGTGCTGTTTATCACCAGCGTCTCTTAGTGTGCTGTTTATCACCAACGTCTTTTAAATGGAGATTTTGTTAAAATTAATCCAAGGCGTAAAGGGATTTTTATTTTGAAATCTTTTCATTGTCAACTTAGCTCGGCATCTTCCATTGTTGACCAAGCTCAGCACATTTTGATACTTACCTCAACGTTCTTAGCTCAGCAAATTTTATTGGTGCTCGACGTAGCTCATTTCTTTGAATTTCTAAAGGTCTAACTCAGCATGTGTTCTGATCCTTAATGCTACCGTTTTGGAGATCCAAACTCTGTCTCTTACTATTTCGTATTGCCAAGCATTCGAAGCATTTATTCGGTTATTATTATTATTATTATTATTATTATTAAATGTAAATCGTAGATACAAGTTAGCTGCAAAATGTCTTAAACTTTAGACAAGACATATTCAAGTTAACTCCTCCTCCCATTAAAATCTCATATTGCAGCAATGCCTTGCCCTTCAATATTAAACCTGAGAAATGATGGCGTAGAATTCAACAACTCTAATGCCAGGTACGGTGACGTCATCGAATTCATGTGTGCCCCTGGTTACGTGCATGAGGACCCCGCTGTGACGTCAGTGACGGTCGGCTGCATCTTACAAAATGGAAGCAGCTCACCTACGTGGGAGGTGGACCCTCCGCTTTGTTATGGTATGTTGGTATGTCTGCAGGCAAGTGACACGGTGTGCAAATGGTTTTCCACCATACAGCAGTTTGGCTAATGTTTCGGCCCACATGATACGTGGAATTCGGAAATCGAAAATAAAGTATTTAGATACAGGAACAATTTGATTTTAACGTTTGAAATCGATTTATTTGTGACCATGCCTTTGCGGTGTATACTGTAGCATCTGTCTTTTAGGATTACCGTGTCCAAATATGACATTCCCAGATGACGTCAGGCTAACAGTGACGTCAAACGTTACTTCAAACGTCACAAGCGGGCTACAGTGGATAAGTGACGGCCGAGTGGGGGAAACGTACGCATTAAGTTGTGTTGAAGACAAAGTTTTCCCTGATGCTTCCTTGGAGTACATCGTAACCTGTGTGTGGAAGGGGAACGGAACGGGATGGGATAGAGAGGTCCCTTCTTGTAGAGGTAAGTCAATGGAAATTACTATATGACCATTGTGGTTATTGAATGGATCAGCATTTTCAGCATTTTCGTTACTTTTATAATATATATATATATATGTATAATATATACTTATATTATACATATATAATATAAGTATATATTATACATATATGTATAATATATACTTATATAATTTTGTCTTAATTAACAAACGGCATATTACCGTCGATTTAATTATTACATTATTTTCAGTACATAATCAGCTAAACAATGTCATTAATTGGCATATCTATTAAACAAGTGCGTGGACTGTAAAACTAATTGTGTGTGCAATGAATCATATATTTCCTTTTGTTTGTCAACAAAATTATTTTCACGAACATTCATTTGCAATACAATTTTTGTATTGCATTTTTTAAAGATGTCGTAATTAGAACGATAACATAAACGGGTACAATTTAAGTCTTCAAAAATGCAAGCAAACCGACGTTTCATATTTGACTAATACATTTCAGAGAGAAAGCCAGCAGACATTCTGAACATCACCGCTTTAACAAGTCCTTCTGCCATCGAAGATGCATTAAATAGCACACTTGGTTCTCTGTCATTGGTGGGTAATACAGCTAATCTGAGAGAATTACTATCTATTGAATTTTATATCTAGTCGCGTTGGAGTAACCTAACTATCTACNGCGTTGGAGTAACCTTACTATCTATACGTTTCTCATACTTTGATACATTGCGTTAAGGTTGTATTAACACAGTCAATATATTTTGTATTGAGACTTTGTTACGTGTACTTGTGTTTTTTATTTGCAGTTTCACGTCGTTGAAATGCAAATGCCAAGTTAACCAGGGCATTCTTCTTTTTTCAGGATTCATCAAACCAAACTGCGAACAATGAAGAGCTGAAAGAGGTAAGCGCTTGATTATGACAGCAAAGATTATTGGTAAATCATTGACTAACAAGGCTGACACATTTTATAAACTCTTGTCGGTTTAGCCTTACAAACGGAATACTGTCTGCACATACATTTGCATAGCAATGTGTGCTTAAAACATTGCTTCGAAATAAGCAGCATTACGTTTGTTATGGGCCTAAATGACTAATTCTGTTTGCAAACATTGCTTTAAAAAACGTTAGTTAACCGTTAATGTCTGTGTTTGTACATATATGTGCAGTTAAGAATTTTCACTTCTTACATGTATATGCGCGTTTGTTTCTAAATGCTTGCACACGATTTTTTAAATTTCGATTTACCGTTGTCATATACCTTGAGTGATATTCCAGTTACGTGACGTCCTGATGACCAGCCTGTCCACTGTACTGGACACTGTCAGTGACGAGGCAGGACTAGTCAGTGTGGCCAACTTGATGTCCATAGTGACCAATACCACTGCTGACCAGCTCAGTGAGAGAGCCATGGTAACATATAGCATAGTCCCAGGGACATGTTTTTTTTAAATGAAAATGCGAAATGTGCTATTTACAGTGATTGCTGTACTTTTCGTGCAGAGGTTCTTTTTTAATGAGATGAACGCAGCGGTTATTAATTAAATCCCGTATACACGGGTAATGCATGTACATGTACAATAGGTAATAACAAATTTATCAATTTCTGTTTTATTTACAATCCAAATATCATGATTTGCAATTTTTTAATGGTTTGTATCAGTAGGCCTATTCACAAAAAGTTAAAACATCTTCATGTTAAAAAAGTTGTAGTCAACCTGAGCACAATCAGATGTCGATTGAATAAATGAAAAATAATGTTTTAACCAATGGTAACATGTTGAGATGTTATTTTCCAATTGAAAAGGTAGATTCACTATATTGTCAAATCACCTAATTGATTAATTTGTTTTCAGGACCAAGCAGCCAATATGTCAAGTGCGTTACTGCAAAAAGTGACGTCGGCAAACTTTTCAACTACCGCCGTGACGTCACTGATGACTTGTAAGTTAATTTACGTGTGTACGTTTGTGGGTGTTTGTGTAATCCGACGGCGTATGAATGGTGTATCAATATCGCTTATTTTTACTGCATCTGGTACATCATGTTTCTGCCTATGAGGTTAATTTCCATCGCTTGAGAATAATACCTATCTTATGCACGAGAAAGTTTTGTAATACGGATCCGTTCCCATTTTAACACACTTACAGTGTACGACAGGCAGCTAGATTAACCCTAACCTGAATGAATTTAATACAGGGCGGACTATCTGTTACATGGATCCTCACTTTCTTCATATGCCATTTTAACGATAGAACGGCATTTTCATTTCACAATTACAGATGTGGCTGTATCTTTGGGAAACATCTTGAACATTAGTCTCTCAGCACCAGATTCAACTAGCAATGGAACGAACAGAATAATCGAGCAGATAGTAAGGAACCCGTGTTGATCACTCTACACATCGCCGCACTAACTTATATAAATATTGCAGCGTATGAATGTGCTGTATCTAGATAATAATCATCAGACCTGAGTATTTTGCATATTTTGATTTATACACATATCCAACACATCTGAATAATGTAGATAATGACTATGGAATATTTTACGGTTTAACAACTAGCAGTTTGACATCAGGAAGTTACTGATAATGGTTACTGCTGCATCACACATCTGCCTATCACGATTTTCTGTAATAGCTCCATTTGCACTGAACAACTTGTATTATTACAGACTGGTACCAAAATGTCATTATCAGACAATAATTCATATTTATACCAAAACCAATCGTTCTATTTCATTATTATTGTTGTTGATGTAAGTTGAATCATTTTAACCAAACACCTACTGGTACCTTGTTTATGCTGTAGGTCAGGGATGAGAAATTAGTGGAACTTATTAACTCACTGGTCGACGTGATCATATCTGTGTTGGTCGAATCATCGGGAATAGATCGAGTTCTCATTGAAGCTTCGTACGTGGCCTTGGCCGTCCAGAAGATACAGCCAGGTTCGATTTCTGCATCCAGTTTTAATTTAAGTACTACACTGGCGACGATGAGAATTCAAGGAGACCTGCAGCTGGGTGAAGTAACGTATGCCAAGGTACTTGCATTAGGTTACCATTTCTTTGTTTTTCGTATTTACAGAAATGGAATTGTTTGTATTTACGGTAAGATTATTTCCCAGTGTACTAGTCTTGCAGCTCCTTCCTCAACATCCAGTTCTATCATTGGTTTTTTGGTCACCTCTTTATGTCTTGTCATGCCGTGTAGGCCTATATGTAGGCCCCTATATGCCAATCAAATGACGTAAATGGCATTGGTTATCTTTTAAAAAATAATGGAACGGCTACCAGAATCTACGAGAGAATGAAGCTACTGTACTTCTACATTTTAGGTGGTTGCATACAAAATAAACCCTTTCAAATACAGTGAAGGCGGCGAAAATGTCACATCCATAGTCACAAGCATCAGCATGGAGTCGGAGAACGGAAACGCTGTGAATCTTGGGAACGCCCATGTAGAAACTGAGATACCTGTTACACTGGGGTTTCAACCAATAGAAGCAGATATAAGAAATGTCACAACGCAGAGGGGGATTTCTCAAACAATGAATATTTCTGATAATTCCCAGAACTTGTTTCTTGTTTTCCAAACACCACCCAACCGGAAGTTCTATTTCTATGGAAAGCACGGCGGATTCGCAACTAAGGACACTTATGACTTCATGGTTGAAGTGGACAGAACAAAGGCGAATGTAAATAGACCATTTGTATATATAAACCCATGCATTATCACACATATACAGAGTACATCTATCAGCGGGTCACGCTGACCTTGTTTTGTCGATTTGATGTTTGATTTTTATGTCAGATTTATAAGCCCATGTACATGTAGTGCGCTCTTCAAATAAACTTCACGATTGATATGCCATATCCAGTAAATGCAATCAAGCCTTGCTTACTATAAACTAAGTCCGAGCTTTATATATAGTATGCAAAGTTGATTGTTCAATGCTTATAATTTAAAACCATGAAATGAGGATGTGGGATGCATATTAACAGAATGAGTGCATGTTAATGCGTTACCAATACGACATACCAGTAAGATTGTATACACGTGCTTTTTTTTTTTACAAATGTTTTTAAGAAACAAACATTTTCAGACAACAGAAGGATCCGTACATGTAACCCTTGATTTTTCCAATCACTCCACAGTTAATAACAGCAAGAAGACTGATGTAAGTGACAACCGGGATCTACAGTAACGTGAATACGTTCCTTGTGAAAAGACAAGAGACTAAGACTGGGTTCCTACAAATTTAGATCGATCCATCTGGATCGACCTAACTCCCTGGGGGTTCACGCTAAATTGCTGTCAGCTTCCGGGAGCCGAGCGCGCACAAAAGTTAACTACCCCCTTACAGCTTTTAGTCGGCGGGACAGACATTTAAGCCGGATAAGCTGACAGCAATCTAGTGAGACTCCCCAGGGGGATAAATCAATCTAAATATCTGTGGGAATGGTCTCTAATAATGTTATTGGATGCTTTATTATAGGCGGTTATATTTTCTTTTAGAAAAGGGGAAAGTCTTGGAAATGTATTTATATACTAGGCGTGGATACTGTAAGACTGAGAGGTGACTGTTTTAATGTTTAAAATTAAGATTTAAAGCCAGTGGTTGTAACGTTGTTTGTTTGATCAAGTGCACGTTCCTCATAATACACTCCGTGTGTCTCGTGTTCCAGGTACCCATGGGTATTAACGGAGAGCTGTCAATATACGTACCTTCCGGGGGACCTCATGGGGCATCTTTCTTTAATCTACTTGTTCTTGCTGATAAAAGTAAGTTATTGATTTGGCTTGGAAGATCAAACGAATCAAATATTTAATGGTATAATCACTCAATAAACTGCTTTGCTGAAGAACCATCGAACTGAAATTGTTTCCATAACACTGTTGCAGTTTTTGATATTCCCTTTGTTGTAAACAGGCTCCAACACAAGCGGCTATATCCAAAATCTTTCGATGAAATGTATTGTGTTGAGCCCCCTTTATCACAGCATGGCGACAAAGTCCTGGAACTCTTCTGTCGGACTTCAGGTATTGTTCATATATTTCAATTATAAAACGTGCATGCGTTGCGGTTGACATATTTGCATTATGCCAAATACGATGATAGTGGAATTTGTTTTAGTAAATTTTGTTTTCCTTTTTTTCAAGACCTTTGACTTGTATGTATGGAACTGTCAATCATTATTTATTTTATAATCCCATATATATAGTTTTTTATTTGTCCATAAACCAAAGAAGGCAAACAAGCCACGTTATAAATGATTTTTATTTCGCTCCAGATTAGCAAAGTAACCACAAATGGCAAAATGACATTCAAAAGCAACTTCTTCGGATCATTCGCCGCAGGACTTTTCATTCCGCCAAACACAATCGACTTCGACAAGGTTTTCGCCAACTTCTCCACCCTCTTAGCTCAAAGCCCGCACGTTCTCATCGTTATGTGTTCTCTATTTGTGCTATATATTCTATTACTTATATGGGCTAGGAGAAAAGATATACAGGATAATGAGAAGGTAAAATCTGTGGCGACCTTTGTTTTGATCTTGAATCTTGACATCAGCGTTATTCAAAATCAGTCATTTTCATTTGTAGTTTACAATCATTGGTCTTATTTGAGGTGTGTGCTCCGATTTGTAACACATGCATATGCACTACCAGTGATTGCAACCGATTGAACATCGGCCCCTATATATATATTTTGGCAGAATCAGTATCTAATGAATCGGATATAATGATCAGTTGAATTGAAGTGTTACATTCCCCTTGTATTTAAGAGCGCTATAGCATCGTTTCAAAAAGCTTCAGTCTTTGCTGTTTAATTTTTATTCTACATCTACACTCTGCTACAAACTGGAATTGCAGTGGGAATACACGCATCTAATAGGAAATGACCGCTATGACAGAGGCAAGTATTTACTAAGTGTGTACACTGGTGTCAAGTCCCCGGTGAGGACCACCGCCAAGCTGTTTGTAGTACTCTATGGCAAGGACGGTCAGACACAGCCGAAGGTTCTGATGGACGGACGCCGGGAGGTAGGGCTGAGGGCGGTACTAAAAGTTTTTTAAGAGCGATATTATTATTTAGTGTCGACATACTGTATTCAAAAGCATTAAGCTTACGCGTTGCTGAATTCTTGATTAATTTAATTTTTATTATTGATAAATGGGGTTAATTATTTTAATTAGAATTTCACGAGAGGATCAGTGAACAATTTTGTCCTCACCACGCCTGAAACAATTGGCAAGGTTACACATCTACATATATGGCATGAGGAGACAGAAAGTAGCGGGGACTACTTCCTGGAAAAAGTAGTCGTGTACGATATTCTGCGAAGGGAAAGGTAGGTTGTCAACCCTTTTCAACCAGTTGAACCAATTAAGGAATCTAATCAAATACGAAAACTAAATTGAAATAAAAACGGCTTCTGGCTGGGAAAATACTTTGGCCGGGTGTTTAAGACATATAATTAAATGGCATTTTATGCATTTGCGCATCCTGCAACCAGAATGGAACAGAGGATCTTTTTTATTGTAGGTCACATTACCATTGCAACCAGTGGTTATCAATGTCAAGGGGAGACTGTCGCACAGTTCGCTTCATGGCGTCCGCAGACTTCGAAGGCATGAACGACTTCAACCTTCTCCTAACCAACAACGCCAGCAAGTTTCTGTTTGACGATCATCTCTGGTTCTCGGTGGCAAAGAGACCAACTCCCAGCAGACTGTCAAGGGTTCAGCGTCTCACCATATGTGTCGTGGTCTTATTTCTGTGTATGGTCTCCAACGCCATGTGGTTTACAGAGAATGAGGACACAACGACCGGTAAAACATCCAACATGCTTTAACGTCTGTTTTATATCAAATTACAATGATACCTGTTGGTGAGATAAGAATGTTCAGGGAAATTTTATGCAAGATCGTTCACCAATTGTTCAGTTAAGTTATATTGTACAGTGTTTTTTTTTTCAGTGACCCAGATTCACATTTCTAGTAAAACATGCAATACACCCCAAACTGAATGTCCTTACGTAGAGTGTATCCGAAGTTCTGATATCCTCATTATTCTAGGCATAAATCTGGGCCCTATTAGGATCACTTTTAGGCAGATTTGGGTAGGCCTTGTTAGTAGCGTTCTGGTTGTTCCTCCCACGCTGATCACCATGGCAATCTTTAAACGAAGCAAACCAAGAAACTCCTGCAGCAGCTTCTTCCCAACAGAAAGGATCGATAGCCAACAGGAGATCCCGTCGCTGAAAGGAGGCAATGAGACATTCCATTTAGCTCTAGGAAAACTAATCACAAGAGAAATGCAAAAAGGCCCCAAATATCGGAAAAAGAACGAACATTTTGAAATGCTCATTGACCTTCAGTTCGAAATGGACAATGAGAGGAGAACGTGGGCAAAACAGGCAAAAAAGAAAGGCAAACCCGTCAGGTTTCCGTGGTGGGCCGTGGTATTCGGTTACATTCTTGCTTTCCTGACGGTCTTCGCGTCGGCGTTCTTCACCTTGTCATACAGTCTAGACTGGGGTCCAGAGAAGTCCACGGACTGGCTTTTATCTTTTGTCTTTGCCCTGACGCAGTCCATTGGTCTCGTGGAGCCACTGAAGGTATAGTTTTCATTTACGTAGCTTATTTTAGCTTCTGCCGTCTACAGTCAGATGCAGGTGTGTTTGCTTGCCATTGAACACCAAGCATAGTTATGGGTTGGTTTTATATGAGCAGGTTAAAGTACTTAAGACAGGGTTGAATTTGAATTAATTGTAAGCTGTAGCATTTTGAATTAAGCTGTGGTACATAACCCCTTTATTAATTGAAAGATGCTGTATGTTTAACGTATGCAGTAGCAACTGCTGGAGTTTGGAGTTAAAGAAATGAACTAATATAAGAATCAAGAACGGGAACACTGTGCACAGCATTTTTGATGCGGATAATCCTTAATATTTGCCTCATATTGATTATCACGGTGTAATAATTTAGCGCACATAAAAACACTTGTCACTAATAAACGGATATCTACCTTTGTCTACCCCCAGGTCTTGCTGGTCGCCGTGCTGATGTCGTGTCTGCTGAAGATGCCGGGAGATGAGGAGGAGGAAGAAGACATGGTGATAGCGGAGTACGCGCCCCAAATAGGTACACTCTGCATTAGCCAATTTATTTATTAATTTGTTTATTTATCTCTTTTTTATTTTTATTTTTGTTTGCTGTTTTGTTATATGTCTATTATTACTATTTGCTTTTTTGCAAAATGAATGTATGTATAATATTTTGATCGGTTTTTCAATTCAATGCACATTTATTCAGTTAGAAAGTGAAATACTCATCGTTTTATTTCTATGTAAATGTAGTACACAATTTGGGTTGGTGGATATTTTGTGGTCAGTCTTTTTTATTATAATTACTACTTTTAATTTCATTAAAACGAAAAATACACGGTTATTGTCACTGTTTTAAGGTGCATTTTTTTCTGCGGTGGATCATCCGAAACCGAGCTTCATCCCTGTCGCAGACAAAGTCATCAACTTACAGAACCTGCGCACTAAAAGACGGACGATAAGGAAAGATCTTCACCTTACTGGGAAACTAAGAAACATACTCTTACATATATTTTATCTTTGTCTACTGATAGTCATTTGTTTTGCTAACAGAGACACAAGATTTTACCAACAGAACCGCAACTTGCAAAACAGCCTGCAGTTGACCGATGAAAAGTTTGCCAAAGTAAGATTTTTTTATGAAATTATTTCCAATTTGAAATAATTAAGAAAAAAGGAGAATGGTGGGAATATAAAACTGGATAATCAGACTGACCAGCGTTTAATCATATTCTGTTTGCTTCGTCTATTTTATTGTTTATGTAAGATTTTAAAACCATTATTTCTCAGTTTGGAAAGGATTTGCTTATGAACCGATTATTTAATCGCAGTTACTGTAAATAAGGTGTGACCTTTTTGTAATTAAAGTGGAAAATATTTTAAGGTTACTCAAAGACAACCCGCAAATGCGGTTTACATAAAGAAAGTGTTTTGACCAATATTAGTACATTTTAATTGTTTTGAAATACCCTTTTCGATCATATCAATTTAATTTAATTCAATTAAAGAACCGGAAAGATTGAATCTATTGATATAAACGCAATTATTTACGGAGGCCATATTTTAATTTTATAGTTGTAAACTTTTTTTATGTTTTAAATCAGGTACAGCGAATAGAAACCATCTTTTCCTGGTTGAATGACACGATATTCCCGGCCGTGTTTCCCACTGAGGGTTACAATGGAGATCCGTACACGGAGGCAGACGATCTAGCCTTCATCCGGGACATGAGAGGGCTGCGTCTCGGACCCTTGTTGCTACGACAACTGAGGGTGAAACAAAGTAAGACGCATTAAGCACTCCAACAAACGAGGAAATCAATTAAATTAGTTTTTTGAATGGGTACCTATGTTACTTCTGATAGTATATAAAATCCGTGGCCAAATTAGGGCGGGTTGTTTGGGATGTTGACGTGTGATCTACAAATAAAATATTAAATTGAGAGAACAAGCTGGCGTCTTTGTTTTCATCTGCACGACACACTTGTTTTGTTTGTACATTGTTTCAGAGTTTAAATAATTCATGATACTGCGACGCTCCATGTTTAGATTAAATTTACATATGATTACGTGATTTCTTAGGTTCCTGCCAGACTGCAGATTTTCTAAACAAGTACTTCAGCCATTGCAACGTTATGCTGAGCCAAGGAGGAATGGATAAAGGAGCATATGGTCCAGGTCCGTAAGTTTGAGTACTTACATAATTTAAGGCCATCTCTTTAACTAATGATATCCACAATAGAATCGCATGCAGCAAAGCTGTCACACTTATGAAGCACAGAGAAAACAAAGCACTTTATTGCCATATTGTTAGGCACAATATCTAATTAACAGAAATATTTTTCTTAACTTCGTAAATAATAAAGGATGCCTCTATCTAAGTAGAATATTTCAGACAAGCTCTTGAGTTGTTACACGTAACTTCCAGGTTGGGTAACTTCAACCTCGAGCGTCCCGTCACGAGTAAACCCAGCGTTTGTATACTCTCCCCCTTCCGGTCCAAATGATTTGACCGTCTGCGGTCATCTTGACCACTACGGCGGAGGCGGGTACATGGTGGAGATTAACTCGGCCCAGGACAGCGTTCACACTTTGACCAGTCTTAAAGACCTCAACTGGATTGACCGTTTGTCCAGAGCGGTGATTGTGGAACTTACCGTTAATAACGCCAATGTGAACGTTTTCTCCATGGTCCGAATCATCGTGGAACTGCCGGCAATGGGAGGGATATTCATCAAGAAAGAGCTGGTCAGTTTCAGACCTTACCCTTACGTTGAACCTTTCGACTTCGTCCTTCTCATCGTCCAAGTCATCTGGGCACTTTTGGTCATCGTACTGTTGGGGACAGAGGTTGTTAAGATGGTCAAGTTAAAGAAGCAGTATTTTCGCCAGAGTTGGCACTACATTGTGCTAGGGGATCTCTGCTTGTCGTTCACTAGCATGGTGTGCTTTGTCCTCAGAACTGTGTACACCATACTGGCGGTTGAAGATGTGAAGAATAGCGGGGGTAAGTGCCGTTAAGGTAACGATAATTAGAAAATTAAGAGATCAAAGAGCTTGTTGTCTGTATACAAAATATTGGATAAACGTTGTATCATAACGCTTAGTAGTAGTAGTAGTAGTAGTAGTAGTAGTAGTAGGGGTAGTAGTAGTAGTAGTAGTAGTAGTAATTTTGAAATATTTATTGTGTCCGATGTGTCTGTTGTGATTTCCAGGTCATTTCGTTTGCTTTGATCGGGTTGCTATCTGGGACAACGCCTACACGGTGACCATCGCCCTCGACCTTTTCCTGGCTACTCTACAGTTATTTCGGCCACTGACCTTTAATAAGCACCTTGCCATCGTCCAGTCTGCTCTGACCCGAGCGTTTATTGCAGTGACCATATACATGTTTACTTTCGGCATTTTACTATTCTCCTATGCACAGGCTCTGACCTTGGTGTTTGGTCCGGTGATAGCCGCGTTTCGGACACTTCCCTACGCCATGTTGAATCTCTTTGGTGTCATGCTGGGGGTGTTCAAGTACCATCACGTCATTACAGCAGAGACCGCTATGGCCAGGATATTCTTTACAACGTTTGCCATGACCATGAACCTCATTATCCTGAATATGTTTATATCAATAATAAATGATGGACTGACGGATGTGAAGGGGAACGAAGAGCTCCAGGATTACGATGAAGAATTAGCGGAACACGTGTGGACAAAACTGGACTCGCTGCTACGGGCCATATTTCGAAGGAAGGACAAGTCGGCTCTTTCTGATGAAGTCCAAGGTATTTCCAGTCTCCGTTGTCTTTCTTGATGTCAGAAACGTTACAGTGTTTTATATTTAAATTTTATGTGAATATGTATTGTTTTAAAACATAATTATTTCGCCCATTTTTATAGGAGGCACGTCGTTATTATTGAATTAACTCTACGTCATTTATTCACTAGGCAGTGGAAAAAGAAACCGTTAACCGCATGCACGTCGTCTGAAAATGGGTCTACCCATCTTTCTGATACAGAATTTTTTTTACAGAAACTAGTAAGCATATCAGTATTTCGCACTTTAATGGAATTTGTCATTTTTCAGCGTCCACAAAGACCCCAGAAGCGACCACAGGAACGTCACCAAGCCAGGCACCTCATGGAGCTAACGCTGCTTTAAGAAGACGTTCAAAGAGACGACAAAGTAAGGCCCAACTGGTTCTCGTTATCGAAGAGGGTAGACACAGACAGCTGAAGAGGGCTATGGTCGCTTCTTCGCAGAACCCGAATAAGGTTAAATCGAGTACGATCGAAAAGGAACAGAAAGATTCGACAGAAATCCTACAGATACACAACGTTGTGTAGCAGAGGGTGGACTAAAGGTGGCAATCTAGACAACAGCGGAGGGAATAAAAATAAGACTGGACAAGCAGGGAAGCAGGGTTAGTTGATACTGACGGGGGCGACTTTTTCTGAACACTTCATGTAGACGGACATATATAGTTAAAGGAAATTCACTTTTCCTTCTGGTGCCTAGTAATACCAGACAAAGCACAGTGATGTGTTGTATACATTTTGACGCCGGTGGGCACACCGCAAACGAAATTAGTGTGAATATATATTTTTAGTCGCAAATCTTCGACAGATATGGAGCAGCATATTAATGTCATAACGGTGCCTTAAAAAAGTCGGCGTATTTCCTTTAGATCGATAATAAGGTGAAAAAATCAAATCAATACCTTACAAATATGCTTGGCTATGCTGTGATCACGTATCTATGTTCATTTATTTCGTACGCCACTGCTTTATTTTTCCCTAAATTCTTCGTTTGGCATTACTTATTTCAGCATTTCATGCACGGTACGTGCAGTTGCTAACTTTTCACATATATAATTGAAAAATGAAAATAAATGTGCCACTAATCAATTCTGTTATATTTATATGTCATGTCATGTATGAAATAAACGGAATCTATGTAAACAATGACGTACTACGTGTGGAGAATGCTTTTGTTGATTTGTGCTGATTCATTCATTCACTAATAGTGACAGTCGCAGCACTGAAATCCCTTAACGCACAGTTTCCATTCACTTTAGTCACTGGCTTAGAGGTAAATACTATTGGGTAATGCACTATCACCCCTATTTACGCCAGAACACTAAAAGCGTCAGCGAGGGGTGTTAATTAATGCATATATCGCGAGAGGGTGCCAGTGTATTATTTGATATACATGCCAAGACAAAGTACTCGCATTTCACAAAAAAAAACTAAAACCGAATTAAACGTAGGCCTATATTGCCATGGTCACATACCATTTCAAGGTATGGACATATAGATATCATAAAACTATCCAGGATAACCCGTGAGACGGAATTTGAGCTAAATTTTTGTGAGCGTTTGTATGCATTCATGATAAATATTTAAATGAATAAATAAAGAAACAAGTGAATGTATGTGTAAGGCACTGCTGTTATAGAGTGAATATTTAACTTGTTAATATTTCCCATTGTAAACAAGCGCTAGTAAATATAACATCTTTTTCCTTTATTTTTTTTTTATCCCGTATAACTTACATTGAGGCGCTCCGTATTACAAGATGCAATATTTCACTATATATCCCATTGGAGTTTGCATTTGGGCGTTGTTAAATATATATCTTTACGGTCACATCCCTCGAACAAAAAAAGTGCGATCCAACACTTAGGAATATCAAACGATCACGACATTTTCAATCACCTGTTATTGTCCCTTAGGTGCATTTGAGGAAGCGACTGGTAGCGGTGGTTTGGGGTCACTGCTGTCATTGAAAAGAACACTGCATGGTCTTTGAGGTTCATACCCTTAGGATGTTTGAACGCGTTTGTATAAATTTTGAAAATTATATCAAGTAGCAGATGACGGTGTCAGATCTGACGTGAAATACCAAACAGACGTTTTTTCTTTTGGATTTGTTTTTCAAAGCTTTAAAACTGCATTTGTAGTTTGTAATTGAGCCGACTGATATCTAGCCTGGCTAAATTGGATATCTGATATCGAGTATACCCTTCTCTCTCTTTCTCTCTCTCTCTCTCTCTCTCACACACACACACACACACACACACATTATGTTTCTCTTGCGCGCTCTATCTTCCGATTTTATGATCGGATGTTGTTATTGCTTAAAGAATAAAAATAAAAAAACGGTACAATTTCAGTTGAAAACATAATGGCATGCCGCCTAATTTTCAAACTGCAATATTTCCGCCCCTGTAACACCGGGCTTACGACCGCTGGGAGAACGATTTTCGGCGCCCCTCACTCCCTTCAAATTTCGAGATTTCACAATAATTTATAGTCAACACCTAATTCATACATCAGTAAATATCGCAGCCTTTCATCCGGTTACATATTCGTGAGAGTGGCCCTAAGCTCGTTCTACTGGTACATGTATAAGCAGGGGGCTTCGGTTTAATATGTCCCCTTTTCCAATCGACCTGCGGATATAACACCCAGACAAAAACGTTTCATCGACTTTTGTACACGAACTACTGGTTCAAAGCTAAAATAAGCAATACAAACATATTATGCCCATGACCCTCGCTAATACATTGTTGGCAAAGGAAGATGGATCACACATAGCTATATGGTTGTTTAAGGTAAGGGGCATTGTACCCGGTGTATGAAAACGCAATGACACGTGCAAAAACCGGGCGCGACCAAAAGAGGGCGGAGTCGTAAAGCACGCTTAACGCACGATGACGCTTAATGCACGATGATGAGACTATCAAGCGTGTGTATTCTTGGCATTGTGAATCAGTAGCTGCTGTATTCATTTTTCATAGACTTGCATGTATATTTGCCTTAATGTGGTGACGTCAGAGAACGTATTTTTGAGGAAAATAGATGTCTAAAATGCGGTGAGGGCGTGCACCGGAATCATAATCGTAGGGCAAGGACAAGTGTTTATTTATTACCTACGGAGCCAACTTCTATAAGTTAAAGTACAGCCGATAGGATATTCGATTTTGACAAGCAAGGAGGTAAGTATTCCTTTATTTACCTGAGTTTTTTTTTTTTTTTTTTTTTTTTTTTTATCGGCTGCACTTAAACAGGCACGTTGTAGCCAAGCTCCCTTCGCCCAATGGTCTGTGTCATAAAATGCCTAATAGTTTGACCTTAACCTAGACTGATCAAGTCAGATACTCTTCTACGTTAAGTCGACTTTGTGATATTGGACTTAGAGTGGATATGCACTGTAGGTACATGTATTTAAGAGAAGGACTCAATTAACCCTCAAGAGACCAAGTTATTTTAATGACTGAAATGACCAAGTGGGGTCATCTACATGTATGACCCCATTGTGCTCTGTACAGGGATCCTTATACTAAAAGGCTGTTGAGGGTTTATCACACCTAAAATACTCCCAGGATTTAAGACAAGTATTTTATAATGATCTAATGTAGTAAATGTTTGGTAATAATACTTTTAATGCATGAAATAAGCAAGCACAGAGTTTAAGAACAACATTACACCGGTATTTAGACAGTCCTTGTCAGTGTACACTTGCAGAAATATTTCTCTTTTTATTTGCCACACTAAATGAAAAAAAATACATTACAAAATTACTTTGAGTAAAAATATTTTGATTTATGTTGAGATAGCATCCTGCTAACTTCAATAAGAATAATTAGCTGACTTGCTGAGTGGGGAATACCCTAATGCTGGTAAGGAAGTCATACTACTCAGAACACTTTCAATCAACCTATATATATGTTACTACCAAATCTGTGTGTAAAACAAAATCCACACAAACAATTTGTATAATATGATATCGACAGAATTCTTTAGAATTCTGAAATACCCGAAAATTGTAACCGTAAAAATGAGAGACCCAGTCATGAGAACAAGTTACAACAAAGCTACTGAAATAAGATTCAGCGCTGCACTATTAGTAACACTTCAAGCATATCTTCACAAACCACTTATCTGTGCCTTTGTTTTGGGCACGCTGGCTGGTTACATGAAGCACATGCATGTGACATTTTCCTGTCAGTGTTGCGTGGGCAAAAAAATTGAATAAAATTTAGAAACATAATATGTAAAAACCAATGCTTCTCTTTGGGGTCATAAATGACCCCAGAAGAGTTTGTGATGTATACGCCACACTAATTGGTTGATCCCTACAAAAAGCTGTGAAAGTGTGTAGGATTAGTAGACTGACAAACTCATGCAAGGAAAGAAAATTCAAATAAAAAATAAAGAGATGGCACATTAAATCATATGGCTGGGGTCGTAAATGACCCCACTCGGTCACTTGAGGGTTAAAGGATTATCCCCTCGCCACTAGTATGTTGGTCGCATCTCGAATCACGTGGTGGTTTCTACCGAATATTTCCACCCAGACGTAAACACCCTAGATTAACCCTTATCGGGCCACTGGACATCGTGATTGGTGGTGTGGTCACCAGTGACCTCTCACGTGATTTAGATTCCCCCCAATCTTCACCATGGAGAACCAAAGGGAATATCACTTTTAGGATGCTCTACACTTTACTTACATGCGATAGGAAAAACTTCTAATTGTATCGATAGATATCTGAATTTTGAAAAAATGAGCAAGCCTATAAACCTGCGAATGAATGGTTAAATTAATGAAAAAATTAAACAGATGGATAGATGAATATAAACTAATGAATGAACTAATGAGTCAAGCAATTGGAGGGGGCAAGCAACATTCTAGGCAAAGACCGTCATCGGTTCATCTTCCTTATTTCGTATCGTTATTATCTTTTTAATATGTTTTGCTTCCCGAGTACATACCAAGCACGTCATGGCCGATCCAACCCTCGGTATCGAATTACGGCTTCCCATTCAACAGCACTCGGGTGAATTGAGCGACAAAGAACCCCGGTGAATTTTTTCAACTCCACCCAAATCCCCTTTAACCCCTTTTCATCTGATTTCTATTGATTCTTTTGTGAGGTATTTTTGTTATGGCGCGCGGTCCCTGCAGCAAATATGTCCTCAAACGATTTTGATAAAAGAGTGGGATAGAAGTGGGACAAATATATGATTAAATTCGTGCAGGGGCGGATTGAGGCCGTCTTATGGAAGACGGTCAGATTTTCATTTACATTGACGGGTATCTATTTTTTTTTTCTTTCGGAAGACGGTCAAAAATAGAGGATGGTTCAAAAGAGAGAAAGATCATTTCAGAAAATAGCTATGGATCCGCCCCTGTTCGTGCGATCTATTTTTCTGCCACAACAACTGCACTACAGTGATTATCTAACACGATCACAGATCACTGGTTA